CGAGTAAAAGCACGTGATGTCTGGCTTTGTCTTCCGCGCCCTCACCGCTATCATTAAAGCTGTGTCAGATTTGATCAAGTTTCCGACTATAAGGACTAGGTACCGCTGTTGGATGTAGTGTGTGAATGCTGAGGCAGCTTATACTAGTTGCCGCATCTACTTATAGCTGTAAATTATATCGTATTGCATGTTTCGTAGAGACAGTTCACTAAATGGGAAACCTGTTTTTACTCAATTTGGGTTTAGCTTGGTTGGCGCGCGCCTACGTGGATATAGTACATAGTGGGCTTCCTACAGTAGGTAGATAGGCCAGATAAATGTTTGACCTCGATCTCATCACTTGGCGGTCACTAATTTCAGACCTATGCAACATCTGCAATATCTAGTTTTAGCTTAGAAATTGCAGAGCACCATCTGTATAGTGGTTCTCCAGAATTCAGCTAGTCATGGAAGCTTATTAAATTCTTGTTACAGTAGAAATAGTTCAGAACTATGACATACATCCTATTTTTATCAATTTTGTATAACAAGTGGGGAATATGAGCATGTCAACTGAGGTGATTCTGCCTCATCCAGCAGGTAAAATTTTTAACAGGCTTCACATTTTTACTACAAGGAATTGATCTTGGTCTTTATACTGATTGTACTGACAGCGTCACTGCAATTTCTATTTAACTGATAGTGGGAGATTGAAAGTTCTATTAAAAGTAGAAATGATGAATACAGTAAAGTACATAGGACAACTGTACTACAGTACAGTAGCAGGTAGGTACAGTAAGACATTCTAAGTCAGTGCAACACGAATATGGCAATATCACTGATGCTGGTAGTATTAGTGATCATTGTCATACTAGCACATCAGAGCTTTCCTTGGTTTCTGCGCACTCAACTCAATCCATCCGGCTGTGTCATCTTATTCGTTAACAAGGCGTTATTAAGTAATATCGCAGGTTCTGTCATGCCGCATTGTTACATGGCGCTGCTTGCCGTTTTAATGCGAAGTGTTTTTCTTATTGCAGTGTTTAACTATATCTCAAAGGTCAGGGGAAATTTCCTGTCCAACAGGAGGGCAATCTGCTCCATAAGCAACTAGCATTGCTATATCCTGTGACTGTTTCAGGGACAGAATATTAAGCAATCAGCAGAGCAGATATGAATAGGAGGTAACCACAATTTTGCTCTCGTCTTCACCTAGTGATTGTGCAAGACGCACGTGTTGTCTTGGGTGCATGCATCCTATGTGCAGATCAGCAGATACAGGCAGGCTGATTTGGCCTTACTACACAGCGGATTTGAGGCTTTTACGAGCGATGTAGTCATTAACGTCTATCAGTTTACTTTATAAAGCATTTTTCCGATCGAATGCCTTGATTAGGTTTTGGATGGCCAA